TGTCCTTGATGATGTGAGTCTGAATCTGTGACAGTTGGAGGCATCACTGAAGAGGAGCACGTGTGTGTCATTTCATTTCACCCTCGGGATGGGATGGCTCCAGAGCTGGGTTGGTCGTTGTACATTTCAAAGCATCATTCGGTCTCTTTGATCATCGGCTTCAGGGCAATTCCCCAGAGTCGATGTGATAGCTGTAAGGTTTTGTGAAATACCCTGGAGGGGGATCCACCCTGGAAGATAGCCTGGGCCACTGCACCTGTTCGTTCATTCTACAAACATTTGTTGGTCCACACGCTACCTGGGGTGTGTGTCTTTCCCCACAGCAAGTGCCATGAACGTCATTCTAATTAGTGAGAGGTCAGAGAGATGGTCATCACACCGCAAGCATAACGTTCTGTGGTTTCAGCTCATGTAACGCTGCATGCTGTGGGTGGGCTGGTTTCGGGAACAGGAGGAAGAAACCTGATCCCCGAGTGTTAGACCATCCCAAACCACACAGAGGTCCCGTTAAGATCCTGGTGCTTCGCTCTCCTTCGTACCTTGGGTTTCTTTTCAGGGAGGCTGGGCTGGTAAATGTCAGGCTTCGCTTGTACCCAGGTTTGCATCATAAATGTAGTTGCAGGAACAGCTTTGTGCAGCCTCTCACAGCTTTCGTGGAAAGTTAGATTGGTAGGGGGCAGTGGAGTGTTGCATGTAAGGTGGGTGTTGTGTTCTTCGAGAATAATCTTTACAAGGAGGTTTCTGCTCACCCAGAAGAGCCCTGTGTTCGTTGATGAGATGGGTTCCCTGGTATTTAGGACCAGAGCAGCTGGCATCCGAGAGCCTTGGGCGACAGATCTGGGCTTCCTAGACACCAGCGAGGCCAGTGTTGTGGCCCTGTGAAGGAGTGTTGACTCGGGTTTTTCAGCGTTTGCTTTAGTTCAGATAATTAGTACTCTTACTCACTTTGTCCACGTGGATCAGGAGGCATCGCCACCAGGGCCTGGTCTGAGGGAGAGGGCCTGGGGGTGAATGGAGCGCACACAGGCGGAGTGCGGTGGTCTGGATCAGGAGGCATCGCCACCAGGGCCTGGTCTGAGGGAGAGGGCCTGGGGGTGAATGGAGCGCACACAGGCGGAGTGCGGTGGTCTGGATCAGGAGGCATCGCCACCAGGGCCTGGTCTGAGGGAGAGGGCCTGGGGGTGAATGGAGCGCACACAGGCGGAGTGCGGTGGTCAGAACCAGTGCAGCCCAGTGAGTCCCATCAAGGGTCCCTTCTGGGGCCTTCCCCGCTGGAGCAGAGGTGGAGTAGGTGAGGCGGGCCCTGGAGCAAAGGCCCGCCCCTTTCCCATTGTGAACAATGAAAGCCACAGACACAGACCTACCGGCAGGACATTTGCTGAAGACAAACGAATTGAGGCACTTTCGATGGGCTGATGTTTTGACACAATGAGTATCTTGTTCCCCAGCGGTGGAAGGGTGGGTCTCTGCTTCTAAGTTCTGTTTGTCGGATGTCGTTTTTAGTAGATTCCCTGCGTCAACTGTGGGTGAACTTAAGTCCCTCGAGCAATTTTCAGAGTACGGAGTTGGGACATAGGTAGCTCCGATGGCGGCAAATTAGTTTGTTTTTTTTTAAGTATGATTATGGACTCATGGATTTGTATAAATTTAATGTGCTGGATTTAATTGTTATATATTTGAAACGTTTTAGTACGAAAATTCTGAAACACGTACAAAAGGTGAGACAATTTTACAGTCAACACCTGCCTTCCTATATACACACCCTAGGTTCTACTGTTCACGCTTAACTGTTCGTGCGTTTCACACATCCGTCCATCCAGCTGCTGTTCTGTTCATCCTTCCGTCCACTTTATTTTTATGATGCGTTTCAAAGTAAGTAGCGGAAAGTTGCAGTCTTCCCTCTGAATGTTAACTCGAGTCCAGCATTTATTTACTGTTAATCCTTTTCTTTCGAAGGACTGCACAGGTCTTGAGTATAGCTCTGACCACTGCATTCAGCCAGCCCCTACCAGGACGTAGACGGTGAGCCTCACCCTGGAAAGCTCCTGTGGTCCCCTTCTCGGGTGTTCCCTGCCACCATCCCCCACCTGCTGTTCTGGGTTTTCTCCCACCATTGATTAGTTTTGCCTAGTCTGGAACTTCATATGGGTGGAAGCATTCTTTTTTTAATACTCAGTTGCCCCAGATGGAGCCAGTGGGCGCTCTCACAGGTCAGGTCCTTGTCTTCTGGACAGCCCGCATTGGTCTCAGAGCACTTTCCTGTTTTCTGACACACAGCGTGAGCCAGGCTCACCCAGCACAGTGCCCATGTCAGGTGCCGAATCCACCGTTTCTTCCGGGAGCTCCTTGTAGTTGGTTTTAGACAGTATCAGTCTGACAAAGCGCTTAGTAAAAAGGTCTTGGGCACCTGGAACCTTGGTTGAAGTGCTGAAGTCACTACACTGGGTATTCGTGGTGGAGGAGTGTAAGATGAGGGGTGGTGAGGGTACAGTGAGCGAAACACTGGCTCCCGGCACCGTGTCAGGCCTGGAGGGGTGGCGTTTCTCCTTTAGAGTGTGCCAGCTGGCCACTCCACGGTATGGGGGACCTGCCTGCCGTGTCCGTCAGTGTCCCAGCATCTAGGCCAGGCCTGGCACGGAGGCGGTGCACGCTGAATCTTTGTAGTAAGTAAATATGGTTTTCGGCCTCCACCGTCATCGTCAGATGGCTGGAGTTCCAGCAGAGCCGTGGCCAGGACTGGTGGCTCTGCACACGGGCTGCTCACCACTAGGCTGAGATTTCTGATGGCCCGCTTCTTGGGTTAGAATTGGGTTTCTAGGGGCCGGCCCCGTGGCTTAGCGGTTAAGTGCGCGCGCTCCGCTGCTGGCGGCCCGGGTTCGGATCCCAGGCGCGCACCAACGCACCGCTTCTCCGGCCATGCTGAGGCCGCGTCCCACATACAGCAACTAGAAGGATGTGCAGCTATGACATACAACTATCTACTGGGGCTTTGGGGGGGGGAAATAAATAAAAATATTAAAAAAAAAAAAAAAGAATTGGGTTTCTGAGCTTTGGTTTAATTTTTAAGTTGCCTGCAATGGCTGCACTTTTGTAAGAGTGCCTAAGTGTATTATACATTAAAAAGAAAACCAAAAAACTGCAGGGGCTGGCCTGGTGGTGTAGTGGTTAAGTTCACACGCTCCACTTAGGCAGCCCGGGGTTCATGGGTTCGAATCCCGGATGCAGACCAATGCACTGCTCATTGAGCCATGCTGTGGTAGTGTCCCATGTACAAAATGGAGGAAGATGGGCACAGATGTTAGCTCAGGGGCCAGTCTTCCTCGCCAAAAAAAAAAAAAACTGTTATGGAAATTATCAAACATGCACAAATGCGTCCCAGTATACCCACCGCGGGCAGCATCAGCCACTATCAGCATTTTACAGTCTTGTTCCATCCTTGCCCCTTCCCTACCCCTTGCCTGTCTGGAGTGTTTTATAGCAAATACCAGACATGTGCTTTCAGCCTTAAGTTTTTCTTTATTATGGATCAAACAGATAAACACGTTCTTTTCAGACACAACCACATCGTTCGTTCCTAACTGAATGGACGCTCATTCCTTAATCCACGGTGCGCTGTTGTATGCATGTCACTCATCACTTAGCTCCCACAGCAGCCTGATGATGTAGATCCTGTGGGTAGTAGAAGTGGGTGTCACCTTTGAGGGTCTGTGGGATTTGTGTTACATGCTTTCCGTAGGTTGACATTTAATTTTCACAGTTCCCCTGAGAGGTAGGGGACAGCTTCCCTGCTGCAGGTTAGGAGGAGGATGCTCCGGAGAAACTTCAGGGCCACATGGCTGGGCAGGCAGGGCTTCAGGCCCAGGCCTGTGCGGAAGCTCCCACTTGGCGACCCCCGAGTGGCTCACCAAGGGCCCACACACAGCCAGCCGCTGAGTCCAGGGACTGGTCCTCCACTTCTCCCTTCCCTTTCCCTCCCCTACCATGAAGCATTTGACCCCACCTGTCCTCATGCCTGGCTCTGCAGAGGTGTCACCTCACGTTCCACCCTTAGATTTTCAAGTTCTACTTTAAAACTTTTAAATTTTCCATCAGATTGCTGAAGCATTGTGGGATATTCTTGTTTTGGCCAATCATGTCAAGGTTTATCCTTGAAGCAGGTGCCTTTCCAGGATGAGCCTGCTGCTCTGGCTGGTAACTGGCTTACATTGAGGGGGCTAGCTGTTAGGTGGTTGGATGGAATGGGTACATTCGTGTGTTATGTATTCAGATGGGGTGTTTTTTTTTATTGTTGACTCATTTGGAAGATTTCAGTGTGGACCAGACTGTTTGCATAGAGTGGGAATTGAGTAGGTTGTAGTTGGCATGTCATTTAGAGTCCAGAATTGTAATTATAGCTACGTTTGTCCTGAAGACTTCTGTTGTACATTTCACTGCATCAACCTCTCTAAAGTTGAACCCAAGGGGTGTCCGTCCATGTGGTGTGGTGCTCACATGCACTTGATGTTTCACAAGCTTCTTGCCTTTCCAGTTTACAGAAGCCTTCGGGGTCCTCTGTCTCCTGCTTTCCCTCCATCTCTCCGTCACCCTTGAGGACCAGAGCTCCTTCACACGCTCTTCCTTCTCCAAACACCAAGATTTTGCCGAACATTTATACCCTGACCATTTTTTGGAGGCTTGTTAATATTTTTATTTTTTGTATTTGTAAAAATTGGCATACTTTATATGAAAGAAGATAAAGAAAGTAAAAATGATGTGAGTGTGGGCCTGAAATCGGACTTGGCTTCTAGAAACCAGCTGTTTTCATTTTTAGGGAATTTTATAGTTAGTTCTTTGTATCTTGGCTTAGCAGTGGTTACTTGGAAATAAAGATGCATCCTGCTGTGTTAACAGGGCTCCTTCATGAGGTTGCACCACTGGCTTTCATACTGCTGAGTATCTGGCTGCTGAAATTCATCTGTCTGTGAAATATTTGAAACTAAAAAGATTTTCTGATCTTATAGATAGTTGAAGTATTGATAACACCAAGGAAATCTGTCACAATTTGAAAAGATAAGCAAAAATTTGATTTCCAGACACTACAGAAAAAGAAGTAAAAATGGTAAGAACTTTTTTTTTAATTGTAGATACTATTTCTTCATTTATGTACAAAAACGTAGCATTGCCCCTAAGCATTTGGTTCTGATATCATTTTCATCATTATCATTTGAATTATAAAATAGTACATAGTGTAACAGTTCAAATACAGTAGTCCCCCCTCATCTGTGGTTTTGCTTTCCGCGGTTTCAGTTACCCGCAGTCAACTGCGGTCCGAAAGTATTAAATGGAAAATTCCAGAAATAGGCAATTCATGAGTTTTAAATTGCGCGCCGTTCTGAGTAGCGTGATGAAATCATTCACCTCACTTCATCTCATCACGTAGGCTTTGTGTCATCATCACATCGTCACAAGAAGAAGAGGAAAGGTGAGTACAGTCAATAAGACATTTTGAGAGAGAGACCACATTCACATAACTTTTATTTCAGTGTGTTGTTATAATCACTCTATCTTATTATTAGCTATTGTTGTGCCTGATTTATAAATTCAATTTCGTTGTAGGGAGGTCTGTAGAGGAGAAAACGTAGTATATGTAGGGTTCGGTACTGTCCGCGGTTTCAGGCATCCACTGGGGGTCTTGGAACGTATCCCCCGCGGATAAGGGGGGACTACTGTAATAGAGAAATGTATAAAGTAAGTGTCCCCTTCCCACTGCCTCGAGAAAGAACAACTGTTAGGTTCGGTTGTCATGCGTCTCAGACCTTCAGTCGTGTTCATATAGTCTTAATTTCATGCAAATGGTAACACATAATTCTGAGTTGTGTAGCTGAAAAGATAAGCGGTGGGTTGCTTGGACTCTGCGTTGTTTTTAACTGAGTTTTTACATTTGCAGCGTCCAGTGCGAATTTTTGTGAATGATGATCGCCATGTGATGGCAAAGCATTCTTCCGTTTATCCAACCCAAGAGGAGCTGGAGGCCGTCCAGAACATGGTGTCGCACACGGAGCGGGCTCTCAAAGCTGTGTCCGACTGGATAGATGAGCAGGAGAAGGGCAGCAGCGAGCACGCGGAGTCGGAGAACATGGACGTGCCCCCGGAGGACGAGACCAAAGAAGGGGCCGGGTAAGTGGGAGGTTTTGTGGGATCTCTTTTTCTTTCTGGGGAGACTTGCCAGTGTAGGAGTGAGCATCTTCTTGACTGAGAAATTCCAGCCTTGCCGGGCCTCTGGGTTCCAGGCAGACTGCATCCCTCACTGAGCGTGCGTTGTTCTGTCCCTTAGGGAGCAGAAGACGGAGCACATGACCAGAACCCTGCGGGGGGTGATGAGGGTGGGCCTCGTGGCCAAGGGCCTGCTGCTCAGGGGGGACCTGGACCTGGAGCTGGTGCTGCTGTGTAAGGAGAAGCCCACGACCGCCCTCCTGGACAAAGTGGCCGACAACCTGGCCATCCAGCTCGCTGTGAGTGTGGCACCCCGCGGGATGGGGTCAGGGGTGCTGGTTGAGGATGTGGGGCAGAGGAAGAGATGCCGACTGTGCTGTGCCCCCAGAGGCACACTCCAGACCGCCCTTGCACCTGCCGTGCTCACGTCTTCTCTGTAGCTAATGGGCGGCTTGCCACAGACCCGCTGTAGTTCTGTGGACAGTGGCTGGCTGACTGTAGTGGCCTCCAGACGCTCTGGCAGCCAGGAAGGACCCAGCGCCTGCCGTGTGCCGGGCCGCAGTGTTCTAGGGCTGCACTGGGCGTGAACCTCCCATCCAGACTCCAGTGGGTGGACGGACGGGGGGTGGATGGGTGAAGAGACAGTACCGTGATTAACTCTTCCCCCGATCCGAACCTGGACAGAAACACTTTTTTAAGACCAATTGGTTGGTCTCATTACAAAGCATTGCATAGATCATAGCCTCTGACACTTCTTGAGCATTTACTACGCCATACCCTAGGCCAGACGTGTTCTTTACGTGAATCATGTTATCCTTAAAACGACCTTCTGAGCTGGGCCTTTATCATCTGAGTATTTTGGAAGATGTGACTGAGGTTCAGGGAGCTGAGTAATTGACCCCAGCATCGCATCCCCAGCTGGTGAGTTCTGGGCCTTCAGAACCTGCGCGTCTCACTGCCACGTGCTGCCTCCTTGGGACATATTCTCCTTGGATATAGGGACAGGATAAGCAGAAAAGAAAGTAAAAACAACAGTAAAAAACCTCATTCCTTAGAGAAAAACACACTGTTCACTTTCATACGTGAACACGCATTCTGTCAGATGTGACTGATTTTGTGGGATTCAGGACAGGTCAGAATTGGAGCCAATGCAGTCCAGTAGGTACTTCTGGGGAGCTATTTCAGGGAAAAGAAGCCCTAAACTTTGCTATTTTAGTGGTATTTTTTAAGTTTCTTTTAATTGTTGTCTATAAAAAATATATTAATTGAAGAAATTAAGTTGATGTAAATATTTTTAAAGGAAAGACAACTTTTGTAAAGGGTCTGTCTTTAAAGAAAGATACAAATAAAGTGTATTGTTATTGATTTAGATTAATGTTTTTGACTGGGGTGATTTTGCCCCCAGGGGACATTGGGCGAGTCTGGGGACAGTTTTACTTGTCTCTGTGAGGGGAGTGGGGTGCCAGTGGCACCTACTGGGTGCAGGCTGGAGATGCCGCTTAGCGTCTTACGGTGCACAGGATGGCCCCACAGCCAAGGGCGATCTGGCCCAGAGTGTCTGTAGTGCTGAGGCGAAGAAACCTCACTGTAGATTTTCCAAAGTGCATTTGTTCTCCCACCAACATGATATTTACTTTGTTTTCCATAATAAAAATCATAAAAGCTTGCGTTTTCTTCATCAAGGTGTGTAAACTGATGATAAAGCATCAGTCAGACTGTCGTGAACATCCGTTTATAGACACGTGCAGTGCAGCCAGGCCATGCTTTTATGTGCATCGTAGGATACAAACTCTGTTACTCCACGTGGGTTTCGTTCCCCACTCTGAGGGCTGCCCATCCTGGGGTGGGAACAGTGGAGGCTGGACGCCCACTGTGCTGGGCACTGTGCTGTCCCTTCAGGGTCCAGTTTAAGCCTCCTGTAGCGTTGTGTTCACGTCATTAAGTCCATTTCACAGATGAGAAACCACGATCTTAATGAGATTAAGTGATTTGTCCAAAGTTACACAGCTCAAGTGAGAAAATGGCTCACTCGAGAAGTCTCCTTCTCCCAACCCTCAGCTCTTAACCGTTGCATTATGAAGCTTCCTGTGGAAATCACTGCTCTCTCTGCGTAGTCAGTCACCTCCTCTGTGGAGGAGCCAGAAAGTGACCAAAGACCTGGGCGGCAAGAGGGAGGTCCTGACCCCTAGAGGAAGGCCCTGCTGTCACCTCACACCCCAGGAAGGTGGCTTCTGCTGCCGTAACCAGCAGAGCTAAAGAGAACTGGCAACTGCCCGAAGGAGATAGTGTTGTGAAAGTTGCGTTCTGTCTTGTAGGCTGTCACAGAAGACAAGTACGAAATCCTCCAGTCTGTCGGTGATGCCGCCATTGTGATAAAAAACACAAAAGAGCCGCCGTTGTCCCTCACCATCCACCTGACGTCCCCTGTTGTCAGAGAAGAGATGGAGAAAGTGTTAGCTGGAGGTAGGGAGGCTGAGACAGGCCAGCAGGCCTCTGGAGACGTGGCGCTCCCTCGAGACTCGCAGGTGCTCCTCCGTTGTCGAGTGCTTTGATCCGAGGCTCTCGGTGGAGCCTTGACCACTTGACTCTGCGAGCACAGCTCCTGAGCGTGTCGATCCTTGGGAGTTGGACAAAACGCTTGCACTAAAAGCGAGGAGCACTTTTCACAGAGGGTTGCATCACTCGTGTTGCTCTTAATCCTGGAATTTCTCATCAGTGTTAAACTTGGTTCTTCCGTTGAGCCGTGCTCTGGCCTTGGAAAAGCGTGTCCCTGGTGATTTTGTGGTTTTTGTCAAGTGTGAATACAGCAGAGGGTTTCTGCATGAACACTACGCTGGAGCGGGGCAGACGGCTTGTGGTGCAGCAGAAGCGAGGGCTCTGTCTGTCCTTGTGCACTGGCTGTGTTGATCAGCGGCAGTGACGCAAATGCAAAGGGCTGACACAGAGACTTGGATAAAGTTCTAAGCAATCCTGCGAGGTTCAAACCCAGACCTCAGGCATTACTAATGCTTTCACAATCCAGGGTCCTCCCTGGCCCCTCAGGCGTCTCTTCTGTGTGGATGTTTTAATCACGAACCTCACAGCGTAAAGTTGAGCTAACAGGCCTTATCCAGATCCCTGGCGCACAGGCAGCAGGTCGTCGCACGCCCCACTCTTGCTGCAGCACAAGCCGCTCTGCGTGCCTGCGCGGTGTTCTCGATGACCGTTGGTTCCGACGTCTGATTCCGACCCTCAGAGCCCTTCTAGTGGATCCGTTTAGGGACGCTGGACCTTTGACCAACAGGACTCTCTCTGTCAAGGGCTGGGGCTAGGGCAGTCCGGCCCAGTGGGCGCGCAGACGCCTCAGGATGGCTGTTGTGGGAAGCAGAGAAGGGAGTTCATTTCCACTCCCCGCACCTTTTTGTTTTTGTTTTTTTTTTTTTCCCCATTGAAATTTTTAGCATAGCTCATTTCTTGGGAGATCATGGGGAGGAAGCAAGGTAACAGTCTCTTAGAAGATGGGGGCCACCTATCTGTCCCCTCCTCCATGGGGTGATTCCTTGTAGAGTAACTTCCCACTTTTGTTTTTGTTTTTGTGGTTTTTTTTTTGGAGGGGCCTCTGATTTTTACGATTTCCTCTCAGGGCAGAATTAAATGCACTCCAGCCTCTCCTTCCCTGGTCAAGGGCGGAGATGACTTGAGATTCTGGGAGCCTCAGCTGCCCTTTAGGAAGCTGCCACATCCCCTTTCCACCTGACAGAAACCCCTTGGTCAAACTGTGCCTTGTCTTCTTATTCCATCCATGAATAGAAACGCTATCAGTCAACGATCCCCCGGACGTTCTGGACAGGCAGAAATGCCTTGCTGCCTTGGCGTCCCTCCGACACGCCAAGTGGTTCCAGGTTTGCATTTTGTTCTTCTATTTGTCTTTCGGTAGAGAATTCCTAAGTTTTAACTTGGCTAACTTGCACCGTAAAGTTTCGGTACCATTCACGACCGCCGCACCGAACTTAGCAGCTGCCGGCGTGCAGTTGCTAAAGGAGCGCGCGTGGACAAATTTGACACCCCTAGGAGGCTTGTGACTGAGTAGGTGGGCCGTTGCTGCTTTGTGCCAGGAGTACCGTCGTTGTCCGTGCGGTGACATCGCCTCTGACCACATGCTTGGTGGTCGTGAAGGCTCACCATGTGCCCTGGACAAAGCAGTGGCCCGAGACTCGTGTTTTTCATGTGTGCCTGTGCTCGGGGAGGCGCCTTGGCATAAAGAGCCTGTACTTTGTTCCTCTAGGCCAGAGCCAACGGGCTGAAGTCGTGTGTCATTGTCATCCGGGTCCTGAGGGACCTGTGCACCCGCGTGCCCACCTGGGGTCCCCTCAGAGGATGGGTAAGGCTCCTTGTAGCTATGGCCAGGGGTCGTGGGCACAGAGACCTCCTCCCATATCCCAGGAATATGTTATGGTTTCTGGGCTGGAGTGGTCCTTCCAGGTGTGGCTGATGCGTCCCTGTCATAGCTGCCTGTTGAGCAACCACTTCTTGCCACACCCTGGGTGGGCGGTGCAGGCAAGACCAAGACCCCCGTGGAAGACGCCCCGCTCAGCCTTGGGAGGGGCCTGGCCGGGCAGCACGCTTCCTCTGAGATGCTCTGTCTGTGAAGGAGTGTTTGTAGCTGCTCGTGGACAGGGGTCAGCAAACTGGGGCCCGAGGGCCCATTGTGGCCAGCTGCCTGTGTTGTTACAGCCCGTAGTTAAGAATGGCTTTTGTCTGTTCAAATGGCTACGTCTTAAATACAAGTACCTCCATAGTAGCTTCTACTCTGCCTCTTGGCCCCCACCTGGAGGGTTTAAGGTCTGGCTGTGAGGAAGAGGCGGCTGAGCCCTTCTCTCGGTGTCCAGTCTGGTGTAGCCGCCACTTGTGACCTTGGAGGGTTGACTCGCCGTGCTCCCCCAACACAGTGACAGCGTCAGCTGACCCCTCCGGCAGCGTGGCTAACCGTCCCTCTTGCCTTGCAGCCCCTCGAGCTTCTCTGTGAGAAGTCCATCGGCACGGCCAACAGACCCATGGGGGCCGGCGAGGCCCTGCGGAGAGTGCTGGAGTGCCTGGCGTCGGGCATCGTGATGCCAGGTTGGGGCCTTGTGCTTTGCAAGTGGTAGGGAAAGGACAGGGATCAAGGCCCCGAGGCCGCTTCCTGGCGGGTCCCCTGACCGGGTTAGGGCAGCAGCAGCCCCGTGTCCCCCTAGGGCTGAAGCATGTGACTACCCTCTTGCACCATCATATCCAGCCCTGTGCCGGCTCCGCAGCTGTGACTCAGGGCGGGTCCGGGGCAGTGGTGACCCACTCCCACACGAGCTCCTTGCTCTGAGACACGTGTGGATTGTTTCTCTCATGGGCTGGACGCCGAGTGGGTCACCGAGCTCGGCGTGTTTTCCAGAGCTGGGTGTGGATGGGGCGCGGGGGGTACCGCACCTGGTCCCCTTAGCCAGCACGACTCTTCCGAGACGCTAAAGATAATCCTCTGCATATCTTCCTTGTTTCCTGCCTTCAGATGGTTCTGGCATTTATGACCCTTGTGAAAAAGAAGCCACTGATGCTATTGGGCATCTAGACAGACAGCAACGGGAAGATATCACACAGAGTGCGCAGGTATAGTCGTCGCCATTGCCACCGTGAGCCCTTACCCAGTCTGTAATCACTGGCTGCCAGTTCCGTTACTGGGTATCCTCAGGGTCGCCACTGGACTCTAGCTCAGGTCGGGACTGAAGGAGAAGGATCGTGCCTGGTACAGGGCGCCCCAATCTGGGCTGCTTCTTTCCCCTGGCGCCACGCGTGGTTGTCGCCTGCTCGAGTGCTGTTTTCAGACACCGAGTTCATCGGGGAGACGTATTTGCTGTGTGGACTACTCCGGGGGTCCCTCCCCTGCAGGCCCACCACGTGGCTCCGTGTGGCAACCAGTCCCCAGGTTGGGGTCTCCTGTATTCCTCTCGGGGGGTGGTCACAGGCTGGCCTTCCCCCACAGCAAGGCTGGGCTCTGGCAGTCAGGCCCTCCCCTGGCTGTTGGGGGACCCCTTGTTGTAGTAGGGGAGACTTTTAGCAACCCCCCAGCTCCCACCCCTTCCAGAAGGCATTAGCAAGCACACACACCTTAGCTGGGCATGCAGGGCGGCTGAGTCAGAGCCCTCTTCCCCTTCTCCAGCACGCTCTGCGACTTGCTGCGTTTGGCCAGCTCCATAAAGTCCTGGGGATGGACCCTCTGCCTTCTAAGATGCCCAAGAAACCAAAGAACGAAAACCCAGTGGACTACACGGGTAAGCATGCCGCAGGGCCCGGGCCAGCACGTCGGCATGGACGCCCAGTGAACGCCAGACTGGACCCTCAGCGGCTCTGTCCTGCCCTCTTTTTTCAGTTCAAATCCCCCCCAGTACCACCTATGCCATTACACCCATGAAGCGCCCCATGGAGGAGGATGGGGAGGAGAAGTCACCCAGCAAAAAGAAGAAGAAGATTCAGAAGAAAGGTACGGGCGTTTGTCCGCAGTCCTTACCTTCGCCTCCGTCTGGCTCTCGTTAAGGTTCACCCCAGAGTGGCAAGACAGACGCCTGCTTTTGCTTTATTTTTCTGGCACGTGATCTTTTTTTAAATGACTCAACACAACGTTGGGGGGGACACATGTGGGGCGGGTGTGCCTCAGCTGATGAGCGCGAGCGGTGTGCCCCAGAGGGGCAGGCAGGGCCGTGGCATGTGCAGCGCCCCGTCCACCACATCGTGTGGCAGGAGGCCGTCAGAAGAGGTTCCCCCTTCCCCCGGTCAGAGTTGACCGATTTCCAGAACAGAACAGCATCGGCATTCTCTCTCTAGAGGAGAAGGCGGAGCCCCCCCAAGCTATGAATGCCTTGATGAGGCTGAACCAGCTGAAGCCGGGGCTGCAGTATAAACTGGTTTCCCAGACTGGGCCTGTCCACGCGCCCATCTTCACCATGTCTGTGGAGGTAGACGGCAACTCATTCGAGGCCTCCGGACCGTCCAAAAAGACCGCCAAGCTGCACGTGGCGGTTAAGGTAGGCGTGGCCGGCGGCATTGTGCCACGGGGCTTGTCCTCATCTGGGGCTCTTTCAGAGCTACCGTCCCCTATTCAGGCTCTCCGCGTGGGCAGCACGAGGCTTGGGGAGGCTCAACGCTGGGGTGTTGGATTGTTGATCATTTGCTAATCACAGGTGGCAAGGGTGCCTTCGTCACTGTGGCTGACAGGGCGGCCCCAGACCTGGCTGGGCGGCAGGGTCTCCTGGGGAGTTAAAGGGAAAACACCCTCCCGATGGCGGGATGCCCCGCTAGGAGCTTGTGGTCCAGGATCCCCAGGGCTGGGGGCACCTGCGTGGGGCCCAGTGCTGAGCCCTCCCTGACCGCGGCCCGTGGGTCTCCCGCAGGTGTTACAGGACATGGGCTTGCCCACCGGTGCTGAGGGCAGGGACTCCAGCAAGGGGGAGGACTCAGCTGAGGAGGCGGAGGCCAAGCCGGCCGTGGCGGCCCCCCCGCCCGTGGTGGAGACCGTCGCTACCCCCAGCGCCGCCTTCCCCTCGGATCCCACTGCTGAGGTGTGTCCCCTGTGTCCTGAGAGCTGGGACAGTTCGTGGTCCTTGTTTTCCCCTGGAAGAGTAGAACTTCCCGTCTCGTAGCCTGTACGGGGAGTGGGCTGTGAGCCTCTGTGCCCCTACTGAGAGGGCCTGGCTGATGCTGAGCTAGCACCCAGGCTGCCCAGGGCGGCCCTGGGTCACAGACACCCCGTTCCCCAAAGAGAGGGTGCAGGTGGAGGTGGTCCCATTGCTGCGAGGCCCCCACACGAGTTCCAGAGGCGAGGGTGGTGAAGGGCAGCTGGCACGTGGGGTGGAGGGCCTCAGCCGTGATGCGGGCTCAGCCGCCCTATCCGCGTGTTGGCGAGCCCTTAGCTGAGTTGGTTGGTTTTCGTTTCTGTTTTCCCTGAGAACGTAAAACAGCAGGGGCCGATCCTCACCAAGCATGGCAAGAACCCAGTCATGGAGCTGAACGAGAAGAGGCGCGGCCTCAAGTATGAGCTCATCTCGGAGACCGGGGGCAGCCATGACAAGCGCTTCGTCATGGAGGTGAGCCGGCCGGGGGTGGGTGCAGCAGAGAGCCCCCTGCCGGAGGGGTTGGCAGGGCCCCCCTGAAACACATCCGTTCTTCCCAGGTCGAGGTGGACGGACAGAAGTTCCAAGGTGCTGGCTCGAACAAAAAGGTGGCGAAAGCATACGCTGCACTGGCTGCGCTTGAGAAGCTGTTCCCCGATGCCCCCCTCGCCCTCGAGGCCAACAAGAAGAAGAGAGCCCCCGTGCCCGTCAGAGGTGGACCCAAGTTTGCTGCTAAGGTAAGTGGTCACCCTGAAGTCTCTGGCCTCGGCCCGAATTCTCCCATGATCTGGGTGTGAGGCAAACGTAACTTGTCTGTCTTCTCTCCCGTTTAGCCACATAATCCTGGGTTTGGCATGGGGGGCCCAATGCACAATGAAGTGCCCCCGCCCCCGAACCTTCGAGGGCGGGGCAGAGGAGGGAACATCCGCGGTCGAGGGAGAGGGAGAGGATTCGGTGGCGCCAACCATGGAGGCTACATGAATGCTGGTAAGGACCCTTGTTCTGTGCTGTCCCCATGGGCCCAGCTTGCCCCGAGGGACAGGATGAGAGGCAGGGGCCGTGTAGGCTCCCTCCGCCCGGGTAACCCCATCTCTTCCCTTCCAGGCGCCGGGTACGGCAGCTACGGGTATGGAGGCAACTCGGCGACGGCCGGCTACAGTAAGTGCGTTTCTCTTTGTCTGACTGGGGGAGAAGCGCAGCGTAGCTCCCGGGCCTGAGTTAGAGCAGGGCGGCCCTCCAGCAAGCCTCCCTGAGACACAGCTGTTCCCGGTGATGGGTCAGACAGTCCTCCAGCCCCCGTCCTGCAGAAGCGCGATTGACGTAGATGTTAACACCCACGCTCGTGTGACTTGAAAGTTCCCTGAAAGTCAGAATTTTAAATTTCTCTGCTTTAAGCCATGCGAAGCACCAATCCTGTGAAATGCTTTTCCGGACAGTGCACAGCTCTTGTCTTGAGAAGGAGCCTTCACTGGGGGGTTACAGGAGCAGAGAAATCTAAAACATGAATTTCAGATGTGGCCTTCTGTGCCATTTTTCCAACGAGTTCTAATTTGTTTTCTCTGCTCTGTCTCCCCCTTTTGTAGGTGACTTTTTCACAGACTGCTACGGCTATCATGATTTTGGGTCTTCCTAGAGCATCTAAAAGTATTGCACACAAAATCAACTTTTTACTCCAATTTTCTCGAACTCCAAAACCCAAAGTGTCCGTGCTGTGCCCTGTGCTTCACTGGGTTTCTCAACCGTGGCTTGTCACCGCAGCTTGTCTGAAACTCTTAGCCTGCAGAATTTAAGACAATGGCAGTTTTTATCGTGATTTGCCTTTGAACTTGGTCCTATTGAAGTTCACAATAAGTGGAAAACAATTTTCAGAGAATGCATTTTTGTGCAGAATTGCACAGAATTCTAGAGCCAGCGTTGGTCAGCATCAAGGCAAAAGCCCACCTTTGCTTTTTATGGAAAGCGTTACTTTATTTAAGAGACAGATAATGACGCATTTTAATCTACCTTTGTCTTAATTTACAGCAGGTTTTGTATGAATTTTTAACCTTTTAACAATTCCCAAACCTGGTTGATGCCTTTGACAGTAACGAAAACGATTTCACCACATCCGAATCCAGAGCAACCGGCTTTTTTTTTGATAAGCATGTAAAACGTGGGGAACACGGGAGAACTGTACATTGTGCGAAGTGAACCTGTCCCGCCTTTTTGTAAACGCTCTGGTGGGTTCTTGTGTGGGGATGCGATTCTCTGTGGCTGGTTTAGCTAGAGGTGAACTCTCAAAGGTGTCACAGCTGTGCTTCATCATCAGTGCGAGAAGCAGGCAGGCTTAAAGGGAGCGAGAACATGGAATTTTGCAAGTCCTAATCCCAGCTACAAATGCATGGGCGTCTAGAGGGGTTTTTGTTGCGGTTTTTTTTTTTTTTGTGGGGCTTTAAAAATAATCAAGCAGAAAAAGCCTAATATGTAGCCCAATTCTCCAGTGAAGAGCTGGCCTCAGGGGGCCTGTGCTGCTGGGCGCGCAGCTGCAGCAGATTCCAGAAGGCCTGGAAGCTTCCACCCTCTCACCTTAGGGTGCGGACTTGAGTTTGTGGCCCCTGCCTGTGTGCAGAGGCCCAGGGGGGCATTTTGGCTCCTTACTGAGACGCCCTGTCCTGGCGGGAGTCCTTAGACATGAGTCTGTCTGGGCCCCGTCAGCGGTTTTTGCAGCAAAACCTGCCACTGCGTTGACTTGCAAGATTTTGCGTTCATTCAGGCAAAAACTGGTCGAAACGGTTACTACATAATTTGTTCCCAGAGGTTTGAAACATTCAGTGAAACTTTTTAAAACTTTGATTGCATGATGTATTTTTTTTTTTTAGAAAGTTATTGTTGGAGAATAATGTCTTTTTATACCAGGAAATAGTTATCCTGAATGACGTTGAAAACTTCCCCGTCCCATTATTTTTTTTTAATCAATACATGTTAAAGTAACAAGCCCGCAGTACTTGGCGTCTTCATTCATTCCCGGGTTTGAGGAGGGGTGAGGAGGTGCCCAGGGCAAGCCGCGGGACAGTGGAGGTGTCGGGGTGCCAGGAGGGGGTCTGCGGAGGACCCCTGTCCTCCGGCCTCCTTGCCGGGCCTTCGCACACTTGCCCTCGAGCATTGTGGGCCTCCTCATGGGCGGGGGTGGAGGGGTGGAGGCTGCCGACCTGAAGAAGAGAAACTGATGGTGCACATCAGTTCTATCCAAATTACTGCTCAGATAGCCCAAGGGACACCGACGGGGGGTGCACTGTCCAGTGGGTGGAAGGCACGCAAGGACTCCCCCATTAAACGCACCCACGAGGCAGGGGACCGTTGCTGCTGCACAGGGGAAGCAGGGACGAGCTGTGTGGGAGTGTCCCCTCCCAACCCTGGGCATAGCAGGGCAGACTGGGCGCCGTCTGTGGACAGGCAGCGCCAGCCAGCAAAGGCGTGCCCAGGCCTCCCCGCTCCAGGAGCCCAGGTGCTCCGCTGTGCCCCATGACCCGTCCTCCCCAGCACACCTCACTTCAGCTGACCCATCCCCCGTTGGTCCACCTGAGTGTCTGGTGGGGGTGGGGTGTGGACCAACTCGTCTTCTGGGATCCTTACCTAGTGACTAGAGTTGGGGGGCCTCACCGTGACATTCTCAGCTTCAAGGCCTGAGAACGTGGCGGCCTCGCTGCGCGCTTGTCAGTCCCGCTGCTCGGTCCCACCTGCGCCCGGCGGCTATGCTGGGAACGAGGAGGGGCCCCTGGGGGGCCTGTCACTCGAGGCCCCCCCTGACGTTCTGACCCCAGCCTTAGCCAGTCTCCTTATCACATGAGGCTGTGAAATGGCTCCTCGAGTCAGGCGTTTGCAAGACTCAACCCAGGAGATGGCCCGGCCTTTTGGCTGAGTCTCCATTTGCTCCTCTGGGAACCAGCTCAGAGCAGTTGGTCTTCCAGGAATGACACGGATTTTAGGGGCCTCATTAAAGAGCATCTCATGGGGTCAGCCAGGCCCGTGGCTGCAGAGCCTCTTCCCAGCACAGCGGGGGGAGGTGGGGGGCTGGCTGCTTCCCTGGGGCTTTGCTTTTCCTGTCACTGTTGGGGACATCTGGGTGGCGGTCAGCTAGTGGTGAACGTCCTCCAGTGCTCGGAGCCCATCTCGTCGTGCTGACATCCGCTGCAAAGCCGCTATCGGCGTGCTGTCGTGCCGCTGCTTGGCAAAGCTCTGTTGTCGTCAGCTGATGGGCGAGTGGAGCCGGAGGCCGGCCCAGCCCAGGCGGGGCTGCTCGAAGGGCCCCAGCTCTGCTTCCCTCTCCCGCCGCTCCCTCTGCCCGGCCTTCAGGGCCCGCAGCTGCCATCCCCCTCCTCCCCAGTCTCCCGACCCCACGCCTGACTCGCTGCCTTCCTGTCTAGGTCAGTTCTACAGCAACGGAGGGCACTCCGGGAATGCCGGCGGAGGAGGCGGCGGGGGCGGTGGGGGCTCCTCCGGCTATGGCTCCTACTACCAAGGCGACAGCTACAACTCACCTGTGCCCCCGAAGCACGCCGGGAAGAAGCAGCCGCACGGGGGCCAGCAGAAGCCCTCCTACGGCTCGGGCTACCAGTCACACCAAGGCCAGCAGCAGCCTTACAACCAGAGCCAGTACAGCAGTTACGGCCCCCCGCAGGGCAAGCAGAAAGGCTACAGCCACGGCCAGGGCAACTACTCCTCCTACTCCAACTCCTATGGCTCCCCCGGGGGCGGGGGCGGCGCGGACTACAGTTACGAGAGCAAATTCAGTGAGTTGGCTTCCAGGGCCCTGCGGCCGGCCACTCTGGGCCACGGTGCATCCCCACGGTGCATCCCCACACTGCCCTGAGCTCTGGCGGAGGCCCTGGAAGGAAGCCAGCTGGTGCTGGCTACAGGGCGGGCGTTAGGACACTCCGGGAGGCAGAGTCCCCCTGGCTCAGGTCCTTGTTGTCCCTTCCTGTCGCCCTCTCCTGAGGCAGCACGAATGGGGGCCCCTGTGATGAGGCCCTGGAGGCTGTGGGCTGAGGCAGGGGCTCAAGGGTGGAGTCGGGGCCAGCCGCTGTGAGGTGGCTCTGGAGACAGCGCTGCATCCTGGCCCTGAGAGAGCGGGATCACTTCTCCGCCCCAGCCCTCCCTCCGCCCACGCACAGCCCTGCGGCCGAGGCTGCTCTGGTGGCCCAGCTGGGCAAGTGGAGGTGTACGCTTGTGCTCCGGGGCAGGACGCGGTCAGCAGTGGGCTATGCTGTCTGTGCGGGCGCCCTGGAGCGGGCACTGGGTACCGCTGGGTGGGAGAGGAGAGGCGGTTGCTGCTTGGTTCCGGAACAGCTGGGATGCTCGGGTTGGAGGAGCAGGTGGGAAGGTGGGGTGGAACTGGGCTTCAGAACTTGGTGACCGGGTTGCCCCAGGGCACGGCGACCTTGCAGGGCTCTGGCCGACCCCTGGCACTTTGTGGTTGGACTCACACGTGCCACGTTTAATCAATTAGGACAGGGTGATCTGCAAAGACCCAGGGTCTCAACCGAGGGTCTGCCACTTCCAGGGCCACAGTGCAAGGACCCTGGACTGCCCGCGCCGAGGCTGTGTTCAGGGCTCTTAACCACGCTGTTTTCTCTCCTCCAGACTACAGCGGTAGTGGAGGCCGAAGCGGCGGGAACAGCTACGGCTCAGGCGGCTCATCCTACAACCCAGGGTCACACGGGGGCTACGGCGGAGGTTCTGGGGGCGGCTCCTCATACCAAGGCAAACAAGGTGGGCCTGGAGCGGCAGGTGGCACAGCGTCGGGGGTCCTGAACTCAGCCAGCGGGGGCCACGCAGATGCTATCAGGAGGCGCAGGGGTTTCCACATGAGGGGAGAATGGAGTGGAAAGTGGGTACACAGGACCCTGTGAGGACACAGGCTGGGGCACGCCTCCCACTTCTCAGCTTTTCAGAAGCTACACGCCCGGAAAGTGCGTTAGGCTTAAACGTTGGCACTTACGTGAAAAAAATGCTGACAAAATGAGGGCCAAACAGAGCATCACGTGTGACCTCTGGGTCAGGGCGGTGGGCTCAGCCTTGTGCTCTGTGACTGGGCAGATCCGCCCCCCATCATCAACCCCGGGCCTGGTGGTCCCATCTCTCCGGGCGTTGGTGACAGCCAGACCCAATGACTCGGAAGGGCCCTTAGCAGAGCAAGGTAGAGCTGAGCCACTGTCATCGGCTGCGCCCCTCACCGCTGACCCGCCCCTCTCTCCCTTAGGAGGCTACTCGTCACAGTCCAACTACAACTCCCCCGGCTCTGGCCAGAACTACAGCGGCCCGCCCAGCTCCTACCAGTCCTCACAGGGCGGCTATGGCAGGAACGCAGACCACAGCATGAACTACCAGTACAGATAAGGCCGCCAGGCGAAGACCTGTCCCTTCTGCACTCGCCCCCGTTGTCAGATTGTTTTACGCAGTTAACACGCCCGCGGCCCCGCCCCGCCCACGTCGCCGTGTCGGGAGGCACAGCTGCTCTCCCCGCGGCCGTCCTCTGACCTGTATGTAGCCGTGTTTGGACTCGTGTCTTCAATGGTTTGTTAGTTGCCATTACAACTTTGTCAAGTAGGGTTTTTGAGTTCTCGCAGTTCCGTATCCCTCTGTCTATTTACACTTGGTGTTAGTGTTAACTCAGTTTGTCTCTAAATAGTTCTGGAAGGGATACGTCATCTGTTCCTGCTTTTGTGAAGTGAGTTACACAGCTTTCTGTATTTTAATGCTTTAGTGTTTCAGTTTTATAAGTGAAGATTTTATTTTAAAAACCAGTGGGAAAGAGTGGGGTTTTTGTATGTCTGGATCATTCAGGCAGTACATCTGAATTAAGCTGAATGTAGACGAATAAAGAAAACAAAACTCTGTGCCCCTCGTAGGCCTGGGTGTCTGGCCCACCAGCAGTGCGATGGGCAGGTTCCTCCACTCTGTTCCCAGCACGGGAAGACAGGGCGGGGCGGCAGGACAGTCCCTGGTCACCAGAGAGGGTCCGGCTCCGGACCTCTGGACGCCCCTCCTCCGAGGTTGGCCAGGGCCACAGCCGGCTCCCTGGGATCTCAGGGACGCGGCCCCCAGTGGCTCCGCTGCCGTGGGTGGGCTCACGCCATTCAGCAGCCTTGTCTGATGCCCCGGGAACTCAGGTGTAGTTTTCAGTGCAGTTTTGCGTCACCGTGGAGTCAAGTGTCCTCGTGGGTTTGGTACGTGTGATCTAACTTGGAAAAGGCCGGTGCAATCTGGCTGAAGCCGCCAGAATCTGGGACAGCCCGGCTGTGGAACTCACATGCTGGGACGGCGCTTGGCCTTCCTCCTGGTGCCACCCCCGGAGACTCGCAGCGTGCAGCTGGGGCCCTTCGCAGTGGCCCAGCCTGGCTCCGGCACCTCCCCGGGGGCAGTGGTTCCCAATCCCGGACAGTCACGCGGTGTTCGGGGGACATCGTCACCTAGTGGGCGGAGGCCAAGGATGCTGCCAAACATCCTGCACTTGAGTGTCAGCAGCGCAGCGGCAGAGGACCCTCCCAGAGCACCCCTTCTCAGCTCGGGCCCTGCCCGGGGGTGGGCAGGGGCGCAGCCTGAGTCCAGGTGGCCCGGGGCCTCCTGTGCTTGGTTAACTACGGTCTTGGGGAGAAGCATGAGCCACTGACTCAGAATCGCTCAGCTGATGCGGAGAATCCAGCGTGCCTTCAGAGGAGGAAGATTTGCCTTCTTGGAGAGGTGCAAGAAAGGTGTTCTGCGCCAGGAAAGAAAACCTTGGAAGACTTCTGCTTTCTTCTGGAGCAGAGGAGGCCCCACATGCCAAATGGTCCATCCCGGGGAGAGAGGCGTGGGAACCTCAGCTGAGGGGTGGCCCACGGTGTGAACACTCGGGTCGCCGAACACCCTGGGGTCCCTCCCTCGAGTGTGCACTGGTGGAGACGAGAGAACCTGAGGGACGGGTCCCAGCCCCGACTGATGGGAAGTGTCTGTGACTCATCTCTCCCAGACACTTGCAGGGGCTGGGACAGACCCACACGAGACCCTCGGGAGGGACCTCGTGTTCGAGATGAGAGGATGGGGGCTGTGGATGGGGCCTGCGTCCCTCAGAGACCCACGGGGAGGACACCCGGGCCCTGCCTGCCAGACGCCTTCAGTCTCAACCCACATGGTTCACTCTCCTCACCATCAGTTTCCCAGCTTTGACCACCGCACTCAGATTTCTGAATGCAGACCCACCACGAGGGAAGGAAAGTTGAAGGAGGCAGTGGAAGAGCTGTCCTGGGCCGTCTTGATGTGGAGACAAGTCCTCAGGGAGCCGGGACTTCGTGCCACGTTCTCCGTCGTGAGGAAGGGCAGGGCCCCGGGGGGCCTGTCTCTGAGCGGATGCCCATGTGGCTCCCGGGGCCAGGACAAGTCTTGATGTGAGAGATGCTCACTGCCAAGAACTAGACCAGTGTCGGGGAAGCACGGTCCTTCCTGCCTCTTCCAGCTTTTAGTGGCTGCAGGCCTTCCTTGCTCGTGACAGCTCACTCCAGTCTCTGCCCTATCTTCACATGCCCTTCTTCCTGTGAATCTGTCTGTCTCAGACCTCCTTCCTCTCGCAGAACACCGGTCCTTGGATTTAGGGCCCACCTCATCCAGGATGAGCTCATCCCAGGATCCTCGGCTACATCTCCAAAGACCCTGTTTCCAGATAAGGCCACGTTCACGGGTATCAGCGGTTAGGACTCGCACACACCTTTTGGGGAGGACGCTGTTGAACCCACTGCAGGGCTGGGTGAAGGTGTTACCCTCACTGCTGTTGGCACGGCCCTGGGAGTTTGTCAGCCACAGCCGGGATTGTTGTGGTCAGGTCTGGACGGCACAGAGCCACGGCATCTTGGCAGCATGGCGGGTACCTGTCCCGAGGCGACAGCTCGTGAGCACTGATTCCTTGTTTCTCTGAGTATGCCCGGGGCCCTCCCTGGTGCTGATGGTGCAGGGATGCTGCTGGCCTGGGCAGTCTCCCTGCCCCAGGACCTGCCACCCCAGGACACCGGGTGCAGGAAGATGTGACTGACACCTTGAGCATGGACAAGGCCTGGGTGCCAGCGCGTCACCCATTCACAGCTGACCTGGGCCTTCCCGGGCCTGTTGCCCTCCGAGCACAGGAAGCTGGCCTGCAGGAGCTTCTCGCCGAGCTGCTTCTCCAGCTCCTCTTCCTCCTCGGCCGGGTCTGTGGTGAGCGACAGAGACGCCTCGGCCTGAGCGCTGCTGGAGGGTGGTGTCCCGTGTCTGCAGTTGCCAGCGGGAGATCACCAGGGGATCAGCAGGTGGGACAGCGGCCCGCACACTTACACCGCGAGCTGGTCAGGATAGGGCACTTGGTTGATAGGCCCTGGGGGTCAGTGACCCAGGACTGGACACACCACCCTGGAGGGCTCAGGATCCCTTTGGAGGAAAGGCAGGAAGGAAGAAAGATCTCATGGCTTGAAATGGCAGCTGGATACATGCGTGGTGGGCTGTGATGATGTCAGAGGGAGGGGCAGGGCCTTGCAGGAAATTTGGACTGATCCCAGGGGGGAGGTACTGGGGACTGGCGACCTAGGACCAAAGGGGGCCTCTGAGCAGTAACAAGGGGCACAGATCAGGATTTTCCCTTCTCTAGATTTAGCAGAGTCATTGGGGCCCTGGTTGTCCCTCTGGGCTGGGGTCCAGTCTGACCTGGAAGTCACCACCTGGCTGTGCAACTACCCTCCACCTTGGCAGGGAAATAGTCACTTTATTTCTGACTGCTGACCATTGTGTAGTCAGCAGGGCCGGCCCCGCCCCGAAGGACTCAGGCCTGGTCACCTAGGCCTGGCCCTCTGCAGCTGTGCCGTTGGCCGCAGGATTCAGCATCCAGGTGTGAGCCCCACGCTGGCTGTGCCCTCTGCAAGCCTGTCCTGAGACCTGGACGTAATTTGGGGCAACAACGCAGCAAACCTTCTTGGCCCGGATGCTCATTCTAACCCATCCCAGAATAAATGGCAACTTCACATGTTCGGCGTTTCGTTCACTCCACGTGTATTTATTGGGTGTTACATACGTATTGGTCCTGTGTGGGGCACTGGAAATATGGCCGTGAACCTGGGCCCTGCCTTCAGCTTCCAGGCACTGAGGGCCCTGGCCCGGGTTGTGTCAGGAGTTGGCTGTATGTCAGGCGAGACCAGATGGATGAGTTGGAACCGGAGGGTGTGTTAGGGAAGGTGAGTGAAGGTTATGCCATGCAGAAGCAACAGCATTGGCAAAAATCTCTGAGGGCTGGGAATGAACTTCAAGGAGCTGAAGTGAGATGGGTGATGCATTTTGGTTGGAAAAAGTGAGAAGTGTGGCTGGGTGTCAGCAGGGGCCGCCCAGTGCAGGGCCTTGACACCCAGGCAGAGGAGTTCTGACCTCTGTCCTGTGGGCACTGGGGAGCCGTGGAAGGAGTGTGAGCTGGGAAGAACCCAGGCTGACTGGTGCTTCAGGACAGTCAGAATACGTATGGGAGAGGTGAGGATGGAGGCCAGGAGGCCAGCAAGGGGGCTGGAGTTCTGGCACATCTGAGTTGAGGTTCAGAGTGATACAGCTGGCGGAGTCCACTGGACTTGGTGAAGGCACAGCTGCCAGACCCGAGAGGTGAAAACTGCATGTCCCAGACAGCAGACTGAGGCCCAGAGAGGGGCACTGCATTGCCTCAGCGCACAGGAAGGAGAGGGGGCCCAGACTCACCCACTTATGGCTCTGCTCGGGGGAGAGGCGCAGAAACGTCTAGGGAATGGCCCCAGAGGTCATTCCCCCGAGGTTGCAAGTCCTGGGCCCATGGCCTTCCCAGTGTCTGTCAAGAAGCTGGCACCTAAGCTCAGCCTCTTGGTACCCGGGCCGTAGGGAGCGAGACTATCACGGAAGGGCAGCCCCTACCCCCAGCTGGATAAACCAGAGAAAACCTACCTTCCAGGCTCCCAGGACCCCTGTTTCAACGTCAGAGGTATTGGAAACTCCCAGCTCGCCTCCAGAGGTTCTAGATTCCCCATTCCGTGCCCAGAAATCCGACTCCTGCCCTTCTGGGTCCCAGGACCTCTCAGTACCGACTCCTTAAGGCCCATCACCTACTCCCCGGTTTTGGGCGCTCCCTGGGCAGCTGCGGTGATCCCAGGGAAAGGGAGGTTAGGGGGCTTACTGGGAGCCCCCAACCGGTTCACGCACCTGGAGTGTTTCGCCGGCCTCCACTTGAGGGGCGCAGAAACCGGCCGAGGCCCCGCGTCTGCAAACACCACTCTTCCAGAGGCGCCTCCTGTTCGCTCGGAAGCCGCCTCCCCGCGCACCGCCTGCCCCTCCCACGCCCAATCAACAGGCTCGGAATAGACGCCTTCACAGGCTCCGCCCCCAGCGGTCCCCGCCCCGTGACTTCGCCCACTGCGTTATTGTGCCGACATCAAGCGCTTCTAATTGGACGCTCCCGCAAGCTCCGCCCACGGCCCCCCCAAATAGCGTGCGCCCAGTGCGCACGGCGGGCCGCCGATGGGACTCTCGCAGGCTCCGCCCCCAGGGCGGCCGCTTCCCTGGTCTCCAGGCAACGCGCGTGGCGCTGTCCGTTGTGCTGAATCCGCGCTCCCAGCGCAGCTGCAAGGGACCGCCTCAGGGCGCCCCCAGACCTCCCAGCTGAGAGGCGCCGAAACCCTAAAGCAGATGCCACTGAACCTCGGCTGCACCCCACCCCCATCCCCCACTTTACCTGTCGGAGATAGAAAGAGGTCGCTTCACTCCACGCTGCGCTAAGAAACCCCACCCTCCGATCTAGCTCAGACGAAAGCCCGAGTCCCCACCACAAACCAGAGACCGTGCAGGACCTCTCCCCGTCACCTCCCCCCACCTCCCGCTCCCCCCTCACTCC